TTTACCCCACACTTTCTATAACTTTTTGGACTTTTGCAAGGTTCTTATAATTTTGTTGGTGGAGAAATTGACTAACGGCCCACCGGGCTTTGGCAATACCTATTATCTGTGTATGTGTAGAGCCGTTGTAGCCGTTGTAGACGGCCTGATTTAGACTTGCCGCGGGTGGCAAACAAACACAATGGGCGTGGCTACTTCGGTACGCGGGGCAGGTGCTCGCAGCGACGTCCTCGCCGTACGCTGGGATCCCCCACAGCCCCTCCCTCCCCTCGGGGGGAGATGGCTATTTAAGGCGGTGAGCCGAAGGGCTCTGGGTCTAGTGTTAAGCTGTAACCAGTGAAGAAAGAAGACCAGCTAGACCGGCCCTGGAACTCCCTGGGATCGCTGTCCTTTTAAGGACCGACCAGGCAAGCCAGCGGCGTGGCCCCCAGAGCCCAGAACCGACGCTCTTCTAAGAGTGGGGTCTGGGTATTCGGGGTGCCGTAACCTAGGTGTAAGCTAGCTGTGAGCTAGGCTGTTGTGTTCCGTAGCTAGACGGGTGAAGGGGCCGATACCCCTTCAGTTACTGTAAGCTTCCGAGTTACGTGCTGGTATTAATAAATAAGCATGTGCCTCCTAACTACGTGTCAAGTCTCCCTGGAACCATACTACATATGTATATCTAAGGTTCTTAAGAGATGTTTTGAAATACATTTTTCGCCCGGGCAACGCCGAGTACTTCCCACTAGTCTTATATGTTAACGTTATTTTTTGTATGTCTGTCTGTCTGTCCGTCTGTGTATTTTTTGACGCAACTTGCGAAGGATTTGGCTCGAAAACCTTGGGGTTTAGTTTTAAAAAAGTAGCAAGGTACCACGCCATAAGCCCCCTGCTGAGACAGCGCTATTTTATTTTCCCATCCGGCAAATTTAACATAGTTAAATTAACAATTTTGTGCTATTTCTACTTATTTATTTTCTTGCGCTGCTCAGCGAGCGCTAAAGCTGCCCAGGGGTTGCCCCACGCAACACACATGTGTCATCGGTGGAGGGGGGGGGGGGTTTACTCATTCATATAAAAAATGCAAAAAAATACACACAACACTGAGGTAAGTGTCATGTCCTCTTCTCCCCCCCCCCCCCACCCCAATGTGTGCATTTACTACTGTAGTGACTGTGAAGGTCACTGTGCAGTGCCGGGCCTGCGAGGCCACGGCGGAAGATGCACCGTCATCGTGTACACCCCGGACACAGGGTGCAATACCAACCCTAGTGGGGGTTTGGGAGAGCGCTGGTTAGCGCGATGGCACCACGCGCTGTGCACAGTGCGGGCTCCTACTTAAGGGAACGAGAGAGCGTCAGCTCAGCCAGGGTAACAACGGGTGCTGCTACCCTGGTTGACCTGTGGCCACGTGACGGGTCGTTACCGGAGGGGGGGCACAGGTGGAGGGGGCCAAAGGGTGGTCACATGGTCTGGGAAGAGCTTTTGAGAGCCTTTGGGTAAGGGCGAGAAAGATCGAAAAGGGGTCGCGCATGGGTTCATGGGGAGTCGGTACATGTACGTGATGCACGCCCGCTCCGACCGGATCAGTGGTCGGAGCTGGCCCACCAGGTGGTTGTGGCGGATGCGGGTTCGTCGGCCCTACTCGGGTTCATTGAGGGGGTCGAAATCCGCATGCTCCCTGACACCAGTGCGTCTTCAACCATTATCTCTGAACTGATTTATAATATTTTGCCCCCCCAGTGTCACGTTTTGCAACCTGTGGATGTGCCGTGTTTTGCCACCAACGGCGGATCATTGGGTATTATCGGTCAGATAATGGGCAATTTGCGTTTCGCCGATGTTAAATTGTCCGGCCATGTTTTGGTTTCTGCAGCCCTTGCTGTCCCATGTTTACTCAGGACTGATTTTCTAGGCAAGATGCCCTTGAAGATTTGTGTGGATCAGGGCTGTTTTGAATTGCTGTCGGGACGGCGTATGGCATTTCTCCCTTCTCCGACCCGCATGTGTTCTGCTAATGCTATGGTGCAGGCACTTGCACGCCGAACGGTGCGGATTCCGCCCGGCGCTGAAATGTTGGTGCTCCTCCGATTGTGTAAACCGCTCGATTTGTGTGCTGTGGGTGACGGTATCGTGTTGGGGCCGTCAAATAAGCTTAATCGCGGGATGTCACTCGTGGCAGCCCAGACGTTGGTGGCCCAGGACCAAGAGCCTTTCATTCAAGTTCTTAATGCCGGGTGAGTCACTACGGTCATTCAGGAGGGTTCTATGCTGCCTCATGCGTCACCGGTGCGTCCGGAGAAGGACGTCTTTGGGGAATGTCGGGGTCGGCTTTCAGGCTCGCAGGCCCGGTGACGCGGATGAGGATTGGATTGACAAGTTTTGCTCTGAGTGTGGTGATTTCTCCGCGGGACAAATGCTGAAGCTGAGAGCACTCTTGCGTGAATTTTCGGACATTTTTAGCAAGAGCAAATTTGATATTAGTCACACATCCTTCTTAAGCCACCATATTGATACGGGCGATGCCACCCCGATTCGGCAGAATCCCTACCGCCTGAGCCCAGCAGAAAAGGAACATGTTCGTGTGGCGGTTGATGAGATGTTAGCCGCAGAGATCATCTCACCATCCACCAGCCCATGGGTGCTCCGATCTTGCTAATTAAGAAGCACGATGGCAGCTTGCGATTTTGTGTTGATTTTCGAAAATTTAGTAAGCTTTCTGTCGTGGATGCATACCCCTTGCCTTGTATGGATGATTCGCTGCACAGTTTTATCGGCTTTGCATCGTATTATCGCCGATTTGTCGCCGGGTTCGCGTTCGTTGCAAAACCGCTCCACGCCTTGATGGCTAAGGGTCAAAAATTCCATTGGGGGGAGGAGGAGGAATCCGTGTTCCGCTCCATTCGTGATGGACTGGTTAACGCCCCTCCCCTGTGTTACCCTGATTTTTCACTACCGTTTGTTTTGGATACAGATGTCAGTAATACCGGCATTGGTGCGGTATTATCACAGGTTGTCAACGCGTGGAGCCAGTGGTCGTGTATGGTAGCAGGGTGCTGTCTATGGCCGAGCAGCAGTACTGCGTTACGTGGCGGGAATTGCTTACCATTGTGTTTTTGTGAAGCTATATCGGCCCTATTTGTACGTAGACGATTAAAAGTGCGCTCCGACCACGCTGCGCTCCAATACGCTCTGCGTGTGGACCAGCCCTGCAGGATTTTTCCTTCCATATTACATATCTCAGCGAGCCGTGTGATATGGAAGGGGATGTACGTAACGCAAATTCAGATCACCCGTCTCTGCTCTCTATAAAATAACAGCTTACAATGTGAACTGTAATATCACAGAGTGATTCCGTGTTCTGTGACATCACAGCAAGCACCGTGCAGTGGCAATTGTTTACATTATTTAATAATGAATTCCGTAGATAGGAATGCAGCAATGGGATCGGTTTTATCTGTTTGAAGCATGAATGATTTGCCGTGAAATAAGCTCGATTTAGCTGAACAAGCTTCTGGCCACGATATTACATGCATCCTGTATGTAATATCCCTCAGCCCTTCACTGTGCTCCTCCATCAGCTCGACTATCCCGCCACCAGACCTTTGCCCCTACCACCATTCACCTACCCTCATCCATGTCCATTTCACAACTTCACGCATGTGCCCCATACCCCACTCCCTCTCATTCACGCTGCACCCATCAGACACCCTCACTCACCATCACACTCCACCTTATTCTGCCTCACCTACCCCTGCATTGAATATAGCCAAGACTAGTACACTAAATTAACTAAAATACCTTTGTAAAACCACTGCTGGATAAAGGCCTCCATATACCCCGTGTCAATCGTTGGGCGGTTGTTTGACCGAACTTCACCATCCTGGTTGAGGTGGGTTGGTGATGGTTCTTTCACTCACTACTGATTGTTGCCTTGGCCAAGAATCAGACTAAGGTGACCAGTTTAACACGGAGTAGGCTTTCGTGACCAATAATAAAAAAAGATGTTTTTTTGCAGATAGATCGCGTAAATAAAAATGTGTTGTTAAACCTGCCACCACCCGACAGCCAATTAGTAAGGTTTGTCACATAAACAAAACGTGCCAATTCGTTACTAGTTCAGCACACCGGTGTGTTGGAGAATAAACCCACAACACGTACAATTCGAGTACGACGTTTTGCCAGTAATTACATCCAGCCTCATCAGGCGACAGCCAGATTTGTTACTCACTAACACACCGGTTAGTGCTGAACTAGTAACGAATTGGCATGTTTGTTTAAGTGTCAAACCTTACTACGTGGCTGTGTCGGGTGGAGGTGGGTTTAACAACACATTTATATTTACGCGATCTAACCCAAAAAGACCTCTATGAAGTAACCAGTTTCAGAATACAATATGCTAACCAATACATCAATCACCATGGCTCACAATGAGAAGTTTGGGAGTTCAATTCCTGGTTGGGGATTGATTTATTACTCGACTCGAATGTCAACAGTGGTTGTCCTATGGATAGACTTGACCCATCATAGGAATGTGGAATTTCCACCACTGCTTCGGAGCTGCAAACAGGAATGTGATTAGTACTACTTGTACTAATCACATTCCTGCATTTCCTACATTTCCCATAAATATGCTAAATTCCTCTTGATATGCAAATCATTTTGTCAAGGCGCACTTCCCCCCTTCCAACCCAGTTTAAATAGACGCTCCAAGCGTGGTGGTGTTTCATTCAGACGCTGTCTCCCCGACAGACCTGGTCTTCACCTGAGGACGGCTGCTTGCGTTGTGGCCGAAACGTCGTGAAAATTATTTTTTCATGTTTTATTTTTATTATTTTATTACTTCCCTTCTACGTGACTTTACCGAAAGAACCAAGAAGGAGGTGAACACTACCTCAATGCTTCTTAAACAGGCATTCACTTTGACTTTTTGGCGTTTAAAGTCAACAAACTGTGAAATTGACTTTGAATAAGTGCATACCCCATAAAAACAAGCTGACAAAAACACACAGAAACCAAGATAAATTATTGGTTCACATTTTTATTCATTTTGTTACACCATAACAATCGTCGTCATGATCATTATTATGGTCGCGGTGTAGAGTAGTGTGCCAGATCCACGCTTAGTTGGCCGCGATGGTCTGCGCGATCCAGGCGTTGTAGTTGCACACCTTGGTGTACACGCCGGGGTAGTTGGGCAGGGCGCAACCACGGCCCCAGGACACGATGCCCTGCAGCTCGCCATTGCACGCGACGGGGCCGCCGGAGTCTCCCTGCGGTGGCGGCAGTAGCAGGGGTCAGGGGGGTCGGGGGTTAGCAGCTGTCTCCTGCATCTGGTGGCTCAGCGGTAGAGCAAGAAGCTGTCAATCGTAAGGTGTTGCGAGTTAAAGTCCTGGTTGGAGGTTGACTCCTATCGTGGTTTGTATTAATAAAGGTTTTTTTTTGTTATATTCACGATCTAACCACAAAAAAATGTCAATTATGGGTGATATTGGTCGCGAAAGCCTATATGTTAAAAAGGTTTGTTTTGTATTGTTTGTTGTTGTAACGTTTATACCGGCCCCGACTGGACATCTGACAAAAGAGAGCATTATAGCTCATCGGTTCCTCCAGCATAAGTAAATATTCTGATTCTGACTCATCCCATCATTTCTCTGCGAAAGTCAAAGGTGATTGCCCAATAACTTTTCCACCATGCTCAGGGCTGTAAACGTGAGGTGAACACCAGTGGCTCAATGGTCATTGCAGCAGGAAATCACTTTGACTTTACAAGCAGACGATACCAAGGAATAGCAAGCGAACGTAGTATTCATGTTACAAATGGGTGCAATTCTATCAATGCACATTTGAACATGTTACCAACGCAGCATATTATCGTACGCAATGTGTGGTCACACGATGATTGCACTCGCAAAGCAAATAATGTGCAACAATTTTCACCAATTCCTCTGGTCGCTTGAGTCTGGAATTCCCTCCTCCTGGCCATCCTTTGCTGCCAAATTCAAGGCTAGGCTTAATACTTTTTAAAAACAAATATTCATATAAACATGTCCCTGTTTTCATTGTTTCACGTTTTATATGAATACCGTATCCTACTTCTTGCGCAGCATATTGACGTGAAACGATATACACCCAAATTATAGTCACGCTGTGATTCCCGAATCTCTCCATTCCTCGAAACTCTCTCCGATCCAAGCGAGCTCCTTCGGCTCCGCTGTCGCCGTCTCACCTGGCAGGAGTCCTTGCCGCCCTCCAGGTATCCCAGGCAGATCATGTTGTTGGTGATGTCACCGGGGTAGGAGTTCCTGCAGGAGGTGTCGCTCAGCACGGGCGCCTGGACGCACATGAGGACGTCGGGACTGCCTGTGGGGGGAGACAACACCGGTCGAGGAGGTGGCGAGGCCGAGCACGCGGCACAGGGTGGCATCCCGCCACTGACGCGTCGAACTTGTCACGCTGCGGGGTCAAAACACCGCCTGCAGCTTAGGAATTCGCTGTCAGTGTCTCTCGCTACATTGCTCAATTCGAGAAAACGTATTCACTCTCGTTCGCGACGTCTTCAGTAGCGCGGTGTGTTGCTGGCCGCTTGGCGTTTTGGGCCTTTGTGCCAGTTCTGTAAAATAATTATATATCCAAGATCAGGTGTTTAAGTGTTATCCCCTCATTTCAGCCACTCTGGTTTCCCACTGCATACAACAATACTCGACAAGTAATTGTAACCGCCCAATCGTGACGTGGCTGCGTTAACGAGTAAACAACTTCTCTCTCCCGATTAGAAGCACGTGTCCGATTTGCATGGGGGCAGATGTTGACCGCGTTTCCCTTCACGTCTCTGCCGCAGTAGAAGGGGGAGAAGTGGGGTGGGTGGGGGGCGGTGAGCGCGGTGCGTCCTCACCGACGCTGGTCTGGGTCTCGCCCCAGCCGGAGATGGTGCACATGACTCCGGTGTTGACGCAGGAGGAGGGCAGCGCGATGGGCTGCGCGTACTGGTTGAGGGTGGCGGGCGAGGACAGCTTGATGAGCATGATGTCGTTGTCGATGTTCCAGGAGTTGTACTGCGGGTGCTGGATCGCCTTGGAGGCCTGGATCCTCTGCTCGGTGCCCTCGGTCACGAAGATGTTGTGCTCGCCGATGCGCACGGAGATGCGGGACGCGCTGGGGATGGAGGAGGAGAGGGACGAGGATAATGATGAGGAATTGCATTTATACGGCTCTTAATGACTTTGCAACTCGGCGCCTTACGTCGCATCTCATCTCAGCTATACTTATTCCCTACTGCTATCACGCTGGGCACAACGAGCGTCTTCCCAAATGAATCGATCCATGTTCAAAATTACGGTTGGGGTTCACTTGGCCCATCTCCCCTCTGAGATTGATAAGATTGCTACGACTTTGTAGGGTGATTTTCCTTTGTAGAGACTCGCCCATGAAATTTGGAATTTGGAATTTACACCACTGGTTCAAGGCTGTTAACGGGAGTTGAGCAACACCTCAGTGCCCATTGAGAAATGTAATATGGGTAATGGAGATTTCAGTGCCGTGACTCGGCAAAACCCCACCAGAACATCACGCCACCACGCAGAGATGGGCAAAACGCATTCAGATTGCTGACTTATGTAATTTATGTACGAATGACCCATTTCTTTGAGGTGTGTAATTTAGATACCAATTGCAAATTGCAAATGTAACGAAATTATATACAGCCACCCAGTCACCCACACGCACACAGCGCGCAGCACACTCACGTCTGGTAGCAGTGAGCGGCAGACACGACCCACTCGCTGTTGATCAGGGAGCCTCCGCAGAAGTGGTATCCGATGTTGAGGGACACCTGCCACGGCTGCGAGTGGGCAGCGCACTCATAGCCACCCACGATGTGGTCCTCATACATGTATGGGGCCGCCGCTGCCAGACAAAGACAAAGATCCCCCAGGAGAGCTTTCACAGACTGTTGGGGCAAGTGCTATTAGCGAGCACCTATGAAGGCCGGCACGGCACACGAGGGGGTGGGTGGCCAGCACACACACACAATCGTGTTGATGTATGTCCAGGTCCATTCACTTGCATCCACCAAACATTCCTCATCATCGTCGTCGTTGTCTTCATTGAAAGCAGTCTCACTGCTAGCAACATCCCAATCATCGCCAACATTGGAGTTGCTCGAACACCCCAATGTGGGACCACAAAGCTTGGAAAGTTGTTGGCGTCTGTTCTGCTTTCCCACGCGTCTGTCTGTGGTTTCCCCTGGGCCTTTGCGCCAAATCTGCACAAAGGCGCTTTGCATATTCTACAGCAGCAATTTGCATGAATTAAGCTGTATTAAAATAATATTATTATAATAAATAATAATAGTTATCGCTTGCACAACTATTATCAACGCCATCACTCCACTGTAATTGCCAGACAGATGTGTGTTGCATACCTGTCAACCCCTTGTCAGTGTCTACCTTATTACAGACCATTTCAGACCTTATTGGTCACCCGTGCCCTTTATAAATCTCAACGTTCATCCTACAAAGTCCCATCACAAGGGAGAAACACAAACACATAGGCACACATTCTTTTTGCCCGTTTTGAAACCGCAGTACGCCGTATGGACCTGAAAACTCAATTTCCCTGTACAATAATACGGGATAAACCGTACGGGTTGACAGCTATGGCGTTGTATGTTGAACTTCTTGTCGCACCGTACGTCGTCAACCGTGCTAATCGGACGATTATAATCGACACCATCGTCATCACCATCTCGCTCCTCACCGTCTCGCGTTGCGGGCTCAAAATGAGCGTTTCACGGTGAGGCTAAATGAGTAAAAATGAAAGCCATCGGTGATGAGGTGAGACAACGTTTTTTTCCGGATACAAATGGGCGACAGCCGTTGTGCAACATTGCAGGAAGCTCAAACCCGCGCCATTGGTTACCATAGCGCAGCGCACCGACTGCTGCACCACTATTGCTGCTCTCTATGTAGCCACGGCAAGATAATTGTTTTAATTATAGTGATATAATGATAATAATATCCAGCCCCTTGTCAATCGAATGCAAAATGAAGGCCTCCCCACGATGTGTTGGTCGTTTCTTTAAAACTGCGTTTTTTGTTTAATACGGTGCGAAATAAGTTCAACATACATGCATGGGGGTTGTTTGACCATACTTCACCACGCTGGTTATTAGGGGTTCTGTCTTAAATTAAAAAAAAAACTCATAGACGACGTTTTGGACAATGAGCATTCTTAATAGCACCAAAATAATTTGGATCACATATCGCTCGCCACTAATGTTTGGCCGTGAGCCCAAAATCTAACTCTAGTCACCGGGTTCGTACCGCAGCACGCTAACCGCTAAACTACCGCTCCCCAAACTTATCCAAGACACAGACATAGATCCCCCGTATAGCCTTAACAGACTGTTGGGGCAATTGCTGTCAGCGAGCATCTATGGTGGCCCGCACAGACACACACGGAGACAAAGACAAACATCCCTAATGTATTTTTATACTCTTGGGTCTTTCGGTAACGTCACGTAGATAGAAAAATAATTTTAAAAATCACGACGTTTCGATCGCAACACAAGCAATCGTCTTCAGGTAAAAAAATACAGCAGCGAACTGCTGAGGCAGGAGAAATATAGCGGCAGAGCTGCTGCAGCAAGAGGTTTTTAGGTTTGAGATGGTTGCAGCCCAAAGGAAAGTGGGCTGGGCTAGAGATTTAATTTGCATGTAAATGTAAGATCGGAGAGCCTGATAAACCTAGAGATTAGAGCTTAGCATGTCAATGTGAGAGAGCTCCCGCAGCAGCGGCTGTGTTAATGAGAAGATTGGCATGTCAGTGTCAGAGAACCGGGCACAACGCCACCTCGTGGGCAACAAAAATCTGCGGCGTTGGCCGATGCACTGTGAGAGACCCAGCATGTCAACGCAAGAGAACCACCGCAACGGTGCCAGTGAGATATTCAGCCTATTAAACAACGAGAGCCACCGCCACATCGAGTAAAATGGAGCAGCGGCTATGTTAGTGAGACATTTAGCTTGTTAATGTAAAGACATTTAATAAGGTAATGTAACTCAGAGAGTCGGAAATAACTGCAAACATAGGCAGGTAGGATGGAAGCATCACAGCCAGTTATTACTTTATCTGGTTCATAACATTATTCCAATCATTGCTCAGTTTGTACCCATCTTGGTTGAAATTGGGTCTGTGTTTATATATCTGGATGGCTTCATGAACAAATATTTGTTGATAGCAAGTAGGGTTGCAGAGTACCTTCGTCTTGGAGAAATCAATTTCGTGTGTGCCCACCACAGCGTTAAAACAATGATCAGCCACGGCAGAGGTGTTGGTCCTACCGTGTTTCAGATCCGCCTTGTATTCACGAACACGGTCTGAGACATGTCGCTTAGTTTTCCCAATGTAACTATTGCCGCAGGCACAACTTAATTTGTAGACACCGAGGTATTGCATGTGAGGGATCACATCCTTCACAGATGGGATCAGATCACGAATTTTATGTACTGTGTTGAATCGAACCTGGATCTTGTGTTTGCCCATGATTTTGGAAATCTTTTTGGTGACCCATGCTATGTATGGCAAGGTTATTGTTTTAATTGGGTCCTCAGATTGTTCTCTCTCAACAGTTGGGGTGACAGCTTTACGGATTGTGCAATCTGAATACCCATTCATCTTGAGGGCTTGGTGTACGTGCTAGTTCACTGGCTAGGTGGAGATGGTCGGAAATGAGTCCTATGGTGTAGAGTTTTGATGAGGGGATTCTTCTGGGCTGGATGGTGGTGGGAGGCAGGTTTTAGATAGGCATCCGTGTGGGTGGCTTTCCTGTAGACAGTGTCCCAATGAGCCATCTGGTCTCTTTTCGATTAAAACATCCAAGAATGGTTACTTACCATCGTGTTTCACCTCCATGGTGAATTTGATGTCTGGGTGTATGGATTTGATGTGGTTAAATAATTGGTTTAGTGCTGGCAGGCCATGTGGCTAGATGACTAACGTGTCATCTACGTACCTCTTCCACAAGGAAGGACGTAGAGTGGATGCCGGCATGGCATCTGTCTCAAAAATTTCCATGAAAACATTGGCTACCACTAGAGATAAGGGAGAACCCATTGGGGTACCTTCAACTTGTTTGTAGAATGTACCATAGTGTTGGTGAGGCAGTGTCTCACCAGGGCCAGTACATCAGCATGCAGTCATTGTTGGACCAAATCTTCAATGATTGTAATGGTGTCAGGCACAGGGACTTTAGTAAACAAATACACTACATCGAAACTAACAAGCAAATCACCTGGAGATAGTGAGATGTCTTTAATTAGAGATACCAAGTGAGCTGAATTAAGTACGGCTGAGGTGGTCTCGCCAGTGAATGGAAGCAAGATCTTAGACAGAAATCGGGCCAGTTTGTAGGTGGGTGAGTCAATAGTGTAGTCTGAACAGACTGTTTGGCCAAGTGCTGTTAGCGAGTAGCACCTATGAAAAAGGCTGGCGATGTTTATACATCGAACCAGGTACTCATTTGAGGCTGAGTCGACCTAGGAAAGACCAAGACCGGTTCAGATAATCGTTACTGGTGTTAGCCGTGGAGCCAGAATCGAACTCGGGTTGCCGGGTTCGTAGCGCAGCGCGCTAACCATTGCATTCTCGCTCCCGACAGAGACACACAACAGAGACAAACTAAGACAAAGACACAGAGACAACGACAAACAAAGACACACACACAGACTGTGGAGGAACTCACCAGCGACACCCACGAGAAGAGCGAGGATGAGCCCGTGCATGTTTCTCTGTGGTTCGTGAGCAAGACGATGCTGAGCTGCTGCTCAGAGTCGCCTTATATCCCAACCGGCAGCTCCACCTTATCTCGTGGCCTTGTCCGGTATCTTGTGCTGCCCAGTGCCTTGTGGAAGCCTCATTAAACCCATCGATATTTTCCCAGCCGATCCTGAAATAGCCAGAACCGGTTACCAGAACTATATACGCCACAATCGTATCAGTCGCGGTTTATTTGTTCATATCCACGCCTTCCACTGTGGTGTTCCTGTCAAGTTGAAGATACATTTTCCTTAAAGAGCAAAACGTGAAAAGAAGATTAGCACAAACTACAAATATCGCCACTTTTGTCGTCCACACTGCCTTAAAACAGAAACAGTAGACACTGTTATTTACTTTAAAAGACTTGTTGCCACAAACCTCACCGCTTGGTCCGAGATCGGTGCTCCGAGCATGTCTCAGTTGACCATATTGTTTGGTGTTGCTGCTGCTGCTGCGTTGGCAGTGGTGCACAAAGTACGCTTAGCAAATAAAACTCACCATACACATTCGTCAATAACTACACCGTGCTCTTAAGTTACTGGGAAGTGAGAATGTTAAAGGAGAACCGCGTGTAATGTGCATATCCACTTCTGCACAGTAAATTTGCTATCAATATGGGCATCACTGGGGTGCAGTTGTGGTACGGTCGTTAGCGAACTGTACCAGGAACCCAGAAGCTCGTGTTCGATTCCCGGCCACGGCTAACATCATTGGCGAGTGATATCTGAAGCGGTCCTGAGGTCACCCCGCCCTCCCTTCACCACCCCCATTGGCCGGCGTGGTGAAGTATGGTCAAACCCTCACAACCCGCACATCGTGGGGAGGACGCCGCGGTGGCGAGATAACTGACTCGGCCTGGGATGGAGGAGGTCGTGGGTTCGATCCCGACCCTGGCGCCTGCTGTATATTTGGAGTTTACGTGTCTCTATCCCTGTGGTCGCGTGGATTTTCCTCTGGGTCCTCCGGTTTTTCCCTCCACATTTAGAATCAATACGCGTTGAAAATATTTGACTGCTATAAATGTCCACGTAATAAGCCACTTCAATGAACTATCATTTGTGGCCAGGTCGCTTTTGAAAAATACCTCTATAGCTCAGTGGGCCTTACCTGGTATAATAAATATATATATATTGTATTTAAAGATTATGTTAATGTATTCATACAGCACGGCATTGAAAAAGACCTGATAATGAACTTGATCATGACTGGTCACGCACAAGTTGACAAGGGCATTACTGCCTTCTTCAGCACGCTTCAGTCACGATCCCTATACATCTCGGCTACACACGTAGACGTACACGTGAAATCATTATTAATACAATAATCGTTACGGGAAGCCTCACTGAGTCTCAAGAATCTTACAGGATGGTCCTGCCAGGTGTTCGCAGTGGGGGATTGGGGGGGGGGTAAGCGATGTTGCTTCTGTGTGTTGTGGAAAAGTTTATCATTTGCAGGAATTCATCATTGGGATGTTTGACTAATACCAGTTATTTTGTGTGTTAATTAATTGCTTTACATTGGTGAAATTATCAGAATAAGAATATGTATTTATACTGGAGGAATCCGATGAGCTACGCAGCTCTTTTTCACAGATGAAACACCTCTTGTTAGGTTACACATAAAAAAAACAAGTATTGACGCACATTTCTCTGTACTCTGGGTTTGATGCCAAATTCACGCCTTTAAGTGTTGACGTGTAAGTTAAAGTCGCGTGATTTTGTGACCCTGGTGAGGTGAGATATCGAATCTGATATCGAGTGGTGTGTGTGTGCTGTACATGATCAACCCACGTGCACTCTTTCTCATGGCTAGACCTCAGATGTCTTCGCTCACCGACTACTGATAAACGATCTTCACACCCAAAAGAAATTGCGTTGGCAATGGTGCACAAGCACACATAACAAAAATAACTAAAAATGTCGTCGATAATACTACTTTAAATATATAAACCATGTTATATTCGTAACTTTAAAAAAACTATCACATTCATAAATACACATATAGAATTTTCATCATTGTATCAGAGTGTATAGATTATATCTCTGCGATGAGTGGTGGTGCAGTCGTTAGCGTACTACGCCCAGGAACTGGGCGACCAGAGTTCCATTCATGCTGACGGCTGACATCAGTGGCGAATATCCAAACCGGTCCTGGGCCTCCCTTATGTCGCATAATCCTCAAATGAATAAATGGTGCGGTGTGTTACACATCAGCATTGGGGTGATAGAGGCAGCACTTGCACTAACAGCATGTACACACTATGATATCTCTTTTACCAGTGGCAAAATATAGTAGTAAGTTTTTAACCTTTTAAACTGGTACAAAACTGACACCTTTATTCAAGGCATCATGTTTGCAATAACCACAACACAAGTAGTCAAAAAAGCAAACAAAAAGAAGCAACTGATAATGATAATAATATGCACTGTCCTTGAAGTTGATTGGTCCACACCCGAGACGGCTTTCTTTAGAGCCTAGTCCCCATTGGTGTTGGACCAGATGACACCAGAAGGCGTACAACTCAAACACAGTGCAATATCAGAGTATTGAGAGCTCGGGGTAAGCATTTACACTTTTATCATTATCAGAGTTGCTTCTTTTTTTTTGCTTTTTTGACTACTTGTGTTGTGGTTATTGCAAACATGATGCCTTGAATAAAGGTGTCAGTTTTGTACCAGTTTAAAAGGGTAAAAACTTACTACTATATTTTGCCACTGGTAAAAGAGATCTCATAGTGTAAATGCTTACCCCGAGCTCTCAATACTCTGATATTGCACTGTGTTTGAGTTGTACGCCTTCTGGTGTCATCTGGTCCAACACCAATGGGGACTAGGCTCTAAAGAAAGCCGTCTCGGGTGTGGGCCAATCAACTTCAAGGACAGTGCATATTATTATCATTATCAGTTGCTTCTTTTTGTTTGCTTTTTTGACTACTTGTGTTGTGGTTATTGCAAACATGATGCCTTGAATAAAGGTGTCAGTTTTGTACCAGTTTAAAAGGGTAAAAACTTACTACTACAGCATGTACATAGTGTTTCATTTCAGCTGCACCAGTCCAGAACGCTGGTCCGGAAATAATTTTGGGACGCCACATCCATCTCACCTTATCAGGTCCTGCAATTTTAATATCAGGACTCTACGACACATTTCACCACTATTGAGTTGTGACGTAGCCAACGTGTAGAATAGAATAGTCTGCGTGTAGCATAGAACCCATAAGGCTCGATTATTGGCAACTCACTACTCTACGGTTGGCAAGAACGTTACCAAGCTACTCTGGCACGTGTCGTGACGCCTACTGCAAGATCCGACGGTGTCGGATGCGTTATGAGGTCGCACTCATTACAAATAAAGTACTTGCCACGCATTAACTACAAATAAAGTACTTGCCACACATTAACTACAAATAAAGTACTTGCCACACATTAACTACAAATAAAGTACTTGCCACACATTAACTACAAATAAAGTACTTGCCACACATTAACTACAAATAAAGTACTTGCCACACATTAACTACAAATAAAGTACTTGCCACACATTAACTACAAATAAAGTACTTGCCACACATTAACTACAAAACCTTGCTGATCTTGTCAAGGAGCATAAACCATCAGGCGCACTCCGTTCATATTCAAAGCCGCTCTTGGCTGGCCATCGAACAAAGACGGTCTCTGCATCGCGTGCTTTCAGACGCGTTTCTGCGGCCGCCTGGACCGCTCTTCCTTTCGATATTAGGAAGCCACTGGAGCTTTGCACTTTTAAATAATTGAGATTGAAAAAGCATTTCTTTAGAACTGCTTTTTGTGTTTAGTTTGTTGCCCCCCCCCCCCACTTCCAAAGATCATGATTGGCTACGTATGATGCGAAAGAAGTTTAACAAATATCACATCCCAGGCAAGTCAGAATGAGGGGCACGTGTGAAGCTCACCATAGGGGTTTGCACTGCTGAAACCCGACACATGCCTCCAGGATCCAGTAACACAAATCCCAGGTGCTTTTTGTATTCATCTCTTTAGTGATCTCCCAGCGATATAAGGAGATAGAGAGGGGGGGGTCCTTTACCTATAACAATCTGCCAGTTCACCATCATCGGTTTAAAGCGAGGCTGACTCTGCCGACGAGACGCTGAAAGTCGAAACCGGTCCTAGTTTTGCTTTGTATTAAACCAACACTGCTGAACCCATTCAGTTCCAGGACGCCGTGCGTCCAATGGGATGTGTAAAAACATGTTCCTGCATGTATTTTTCTATTTCTAGGGACAGATATGTAAAGCCATCAAACGATCTGCTTATATGCGTTATTGCCACAAGAGGGAGGCAATCTTCCACTTTGCAGTACGTATAGGATTCACTTCTCTTTACCATAATACTTGTAATTTAATTTATACAGCACTGACATTTAAATGATATCGCTAATTACCTTGTAATTTATACGTTACATGGACAGAAGAAAGGATTGTTGATTTTTTTTTTACAAAGAACGGACTTCTGCCAGCGAACCAGCCACAGATGATGCCTTCACCACGAGGCTCTCGCTCTTCACCAGTCCGCACTGCTGACCAGCGTGATGAAGTATGGTCAAGCAACCCCCACGACTGGCACGGCGTGGATTGGCAAAGGGCCGTGCTTTATAATTGTATATTGCTTCAATATATTACGCCTTCGTATAAGTAATGCATATTCACATTACGATGTAATTTCATAGCGAATTACGTTAGGCTAAATGTTTAAGTGGCAATAAGACCAACAATATTATTCATAGTACTGCATGTGAACAAAACACTTAAATGCAACAAAACGAATGAGCAGACAATATTCCGTCCCATAGCTGTCTCTCCCAGAAACAAAAAATAGTATATTTTTGCACGTTCCATCAGCCACACAGCCTGCTGGGAGTGAATGTTTTCAACAGCATTTGGTTCCACACCAGAATACTCCGAAGCAGGCTTTGACATTGTCTCGGCAGAATCAAGCTTTCTAAAACCAATGCTGGCCAGCTGCCAGATGTTTACAGGCGAACATCTACCATCTCTGTTAGATATGGGTTTTATAGAGAAATTGATCTCTCTGC